GCCCGGCGCCCCCCCCCACTCATCGGCTCCTTCCGCGCGGCTGGGCCTACCGCGGTCGCCACGTCTGCAGAGCGGCCCCGCCCCCGGAAACGCCCCTGGCCCCGCCCCAAGCACTCTTAAAGGGCCTGCCCGGTGGGCTCAGCCGCGCACGCGCAGAAGACTGGCCGTTGATTGTGCCTTGGGAGGGAAAGGGTGCGGGCAGTTCCCCTCTTTCCAGCGCGTCTCACATCCAGGCACGGCGCTGAGCGTCTTACTCCTCGCGCAGCCCGGGGGCCTGGGTTCCCCTTGCCAAGCGCTGGGGCGGGGCAGCTGGAAGCGGTCCAAAGGCATGAGATTGGCCCCACGAACCTGGGGGCTTGCGAGAGATACTAGTCGGGGTGCGGTGATTTGACCCCTAAAGCGGGCAGGCCGCCTGGGCCCAAGAGCTGAAACTGCAAAGTTGATGCCTATTGTAAAAGGATGCTGGTTGGTCTGGAGCCGTGTTTCTTAATTGTGTTCTGCGCATACTGGTGTGCCGCCCAGAACAACAGAATTAAAAAATGGCTACCCTTAAAGGGGCAGGTGATTTTTTTGGTCAACTTTTCCCTGCCTCCTTCCCCCCCCTTTTTTTCCCTCAACAAAAAATCCTTAGTGTTCTTCCTTAAAAAAAAATGTGTTTGGTGTTCCTCGGTCTTAAAAAGTTCAAAAAACACTGATCTGGAGTCTCCAGCTTCGACCTAGTCCAGATCTATCCAGCCAGGAATTGTGCATTGCCCCTGGGATCCCACTGCTCTTTTGCTCCTTCTACAGCTTCTCTATAGCCTTTTTTGGGTCTGGAATGTGTATGTGTGTGTCTGTGTGTGTGTGTGGGGGGGGAGGATCCTGGGACTCTTCTGGGAAATCAGAATTGCAGAAGTGAAGATGGAAGGTATTGAGCGGCCAAGCCTGTTTATTACAGGTGAGAAAAGGAAGCTATTGGACATTTTGAGCTGTGCCTCCTCCTCTCATAAATAGTGTCCACTGTTCCCTTTGCCTTCTCCCCTACCAAAAACTCTTCTCAAGTCCTTTCAGGAGAGAGAAAGCTCTTCCCAGTTCCTGCATTAGCTCTGTTAAGTTTCTTTTACCCAGAAGGCAGAAAAGTGGGGAAGATTGACACCAGATGACACCAAGGTGGAGCTTCTGGTCAAAATCACCAAAGTGGCTTCAGCCTGAGCCAAAATTGTTATTCACAGATCACAAGTTGGCAACAATGGGTTGAACCAAACTCAGGGTACTCAACTTTGGAAGCCCCACGGGCCACAATTATACTCCCAGCACATGCCGAGGGCTGCAACTTAAGTGTGGTTGCATATGCAAGCAAATATATACAAATAGCTTCTTTCACACTGACAGGCATGAATACAAAGATTAAGGCAAGACTACCCAACATGCAGGCCTCATTTAAGTCAGTTCTGCTAATATTAATAAAATATTTCCACCCATATGACAGCACTTATACTGAGCAGTGACAGTCCAGGAATTTAACTACTAAAACATATATCAACAGAAGACCATTATATTGACTTGCTATTGTGGATGAGGCTTTTTTTTAAACAATTAACAAAATCATCCCAAGCGCAGGATTTAGTGGTGATAGGGGACTTCAACTATCCAGATATATGTTGGGAAACTAACACAGCGGGGCACAGACTATCCAATAAGTTCTTGGACTGCATTGGAGACAACTTTTCATTTCAGAAGGTTGAAAAAGCTAGTGGGGGGGAAGCTGTTGTAGATTTGATTTTAAAAAATAGGAACTGGTTGAGAATTTGAAAGTGGAAGGCAGCTTGAGTGAAAGTGATCATGAAATCATAGAGTTCGTGATTCTAAGATATGATAGAAGGGAGAACATAAAATTAGAGATAATGGATTTCAGGAAGGCAGATTTTGGTAAGCTCAGAGAGCTGGTAGGTAAGGTCACACGGGAGGTAAGACTGAGGGGAAAAACAACTAAAGAGAGTTGGCAGTTTTTCAAAGGGACATTATTAAGCAAGCTATTCCACTGCATAGGAAAGATGGCAAAAGACCACCTTGGCTTAACCAGGAGATCTTGCATGATCTAAAAATAAAAAAGGAGTCATATAAAAATGGAAACTAGGACAAATTTCAAAGGATGAATATAGACAAACAATACAGGAATGCAGGGGCAAGATTAGAAAGGAAAAGGCACAAAACGAGCTCAGATTAGCTATAGGCATAAAGGGAAACAAGAAGACATTCTATAAATGCCGCGCACGCGCAGAAGACTGGCCGTTGATTGTGCCTTGGGAGGGAAAGGGTGCGGGCAGTTCCCCTCTTTCCAGCGCGTCTCACATCCAGGCACGGCGCTGAGCGTCTTACTCCTCGCGCAGCCCGGGGGCCTGGGTTCCCCTTGCCAAGCGCTGGGGCGGGGCAGCTGGAAGCGGTCCAAAGGCATGAGATTGGCCCCACGAACCTGGGGGCTTGCGAGAGATACTAGTCGGGGTGCGGTGATTTGACCCCTAAAGCGGGCAGGCCGCCTGGGCCCAAGAGCTGAAACTGCAAAGTTGATGCCTATTGTAAAAGGATGCTGGTTGGTCTGGAGCCGTGTTTCTTAATTGTGTTCTGCGCATACTGGTGTGCCGCCCAGAACAACAGAATTAAAAAATGGCTACCCTTAAAGGGGCAGGTGATTTTTTTGGTCAACTTTTCCCTGCCTCCTTCCCCCCCCTTTTTTTCCCTCAACAAAAAATCCTTAGTGTTCTTCCTTAAAAAAAAAATGTGTTTGGTGTTCCTCGGTCTTAAAAAGTTCAAAAAACACTGATCTGGAGTCTCCAGCTTCGACCTAGTCCAGATCTATCCAGCCAGGAATTGTGCATTGCCCCTGGGATCCCACTGCTCTTTTGCTCCTTCTACAGCTTCTCTATAGCCTTTTTTGGGTCTGGAATGTGTATGTGTGTGTCTGTGTGTGTGTGTGGGGGGGGAGGATCCTGGGACTCTTCTGGGAAATCAGAATTGCAGAAGTGAAGATGGAAGGTATTGAGCGGCCAAGCCTGTTTATTACAGGTGAGAAAAGGAAGCTATTGGACATTTTGAGCTGTGCCTCCTCCTCTCATAAATAGTGTCCACTGTTCCCTTTGCCTTCTCCCCTACCAAAAACTCTTCTCAAGTCCTTTCAGGAGAGAGAAAGCTCTTCCCAGTTCCTGCATTAGCTCTGTTAAGTTTCTTTTACCCAGAAGGTATGTGAGTGGGGAAGATTGACACCAGATGACACCAAGGTGGAGCTTCTGGTCAAAATCACCAAAGTGGCTTCAGCCTGAGCCAAAATTGTTATTCACAGATCACAAGTTGGCAACAATGGGTTGAACCAAACTCAGGGTACTCAACTTTGGAAGCCCCACGGGCCACAATTATACTCCCAGCACATGCCGAGGGCTGCAACTTAAGTGTGGTTGCATATGCAAGCAAATATATACAAATAGCTTCTTTCACACTGACAGGCATGAATACAAAGATTAAGGCAAGACTACCCAACATGCAGGCCTCATTTAAGTCAGTTCTGCTAATATTAATAAAATATTTCCACCCATATGACAGCACTTATACTGAGCAGTGACAGTCCAGGAATTTAACTACTAAAACATATATCAACAGAAGACCATTATATTGACTTGCTATTGTGGATGAGGCTTTTTTTTAAACAATTAACAAAATCATCCCAAGCGCAGGATTTAGTGGTGATAGGGGACTTCAACTATCCAGATATATGTTGGGAAACTAACACAGCGGGGCACAGACTATCCAATAAGTTCTTGGACTGCATTGGAGACAACTTTTCATTTCAGAAGGTTGAAAAAGCTAGTGGGGGGGAAGCTGTTGTAGATTTGATTTTAAAAAATAGGAACTGGTTGAGAATTTGAAAGTGGAAGGCAGCTTGAGTGAAAGTGATCATGAAATCATAGAGTTCGTGATTCTAAGATATGATAGAAGGGAGAACATAAAATTAGAGATAATGGATTTCAGGAAGGCAGATTTTGGTAAGCTCAGAGAGCTGGTAGGTAAGGTCACACGGGAGGTAAGACTGAGGGGAAAAACAACTAAAGAGAGTTGGCAGTTTTTCAAAGGGACATTATTAAGCAAGCTATTCCACTGCATAGGAAAGATGGCAAAAGACCACCTTGGCTTAACCAGGAGATCTTGCATGATCTAAAAATAAAAAAGGAGTCATATAAAAATGGAAACTAGGACAAATTTCAAAGGATGAATATAGACAAACAATACAGGAATGCAGGGGCAAGATTAGAAAGGAAAAGGCACAAAACGAGCTCAGATTAGCTATAGGCATAAAGGGAAACAAGAAGACATTCTATAAATATATTAGAAGCAAGAGGAACACCAAGGACAGGGTAGGCCCATTGCACAGTGAGGAGGGAGAAACAGTAACAAGAAACTTGACAATGGAAAAGATGCTTAATGACTTCTTTGTTTCGGTCTCCACCGAGACGTCTGATGAAGGAATGCCTAACATAGTGAATGCTAGTGGGAAGGGGGTAGGTTTAGAAGATAAAATAAAAAAAGAACAAGTTAAAAATCACTTAGAAAAGTTAGATGCCTGCAAGTCACCA